TTGACCAGCCGGCGCGCTCGGCCGTCTGCGCATCAATCATGTCGCCTGTCAGGCACATCTCCATGGCCTTGGACTTGCCAACGGCGCGCGTGAGCCGCTGCGTGCCGCCAGCGCCCGGGATGGTGCCCAGCGCGATCTCCGGCTGGCCGAAGCGCGCCTTCTCGCCGGCGTAGATGACGTCGCACATCATGGCGAGCTCGCAGCCGCCGCCGAGCGCGTAGCCGTTCACGGCCGCCACCACCGGCTTGGTGCACTGCGCCACGCCACCCCAGAAGGCGAGGAACGAGCCGCGGTACACGTCGGCGAAGCGCTTGTCCTGCATCTCCTTGATGTCGGCGCCGGCGGCGAACGCCTTCTCGTTGCCCGTGAGGACGATGGCGCCCACGGCCGGGTCCTGCTCGGCCTGGTGCACCACCTCCAGCAGCTCCGACATCAGTGGGCTGCAGAGCGCGTTCAGCGACTTGGGCCGGTTCAGCTGGATGAGGGTGACGCGCTCGCCCTCGCCGCGTCGCTCCACCAGGATGTGCTCGTAGGCGGCGTGCTGGCCGGGCGGAGCGCGGCCGCGCCCAGCGGGCGCACCAGGCCCAGCCGAGAGGCGCCCAGCCGGCACGCATGTGACAAGGTGAAGGACATTGTGGTGCTTGCTGAGGATTGGTGGACACTCTGCTCACTGGCTCTCTGAAACAGGTCACACATACCAGGTGTAACAGCTGGTTGGAATATAATGCATGCCTTACTGAAAAGGATCTATCTACTGAAGGGGACAAACACACAAAAAGCACAATGTTTGATTAGTGCTAGAGCTTGGCTATCATATAAAACAAATTGAGATCAGAGCCACAAATATCAAAGCTTGCAGCTCCACATCATCCTTAAAAGAGCGGATGGATAACACCCTTCAAGATAGCTCATCCATAATACTTTTCCTTATCTCACTTGACAAATGAATTACTTCACCAAATACCTATCTTTTCTGATCATCGCTATGACTAAAAGCTTTACTGTGCATTGTTGATAGTCTGCTTCGAGTTTGGCTGATGACATCAATATCAGCAAATATGCAGCATAACCAACTGCAACAACATTGAATAATCCACCCAAAATTAGCACAGCTAAAAAGCATCCAAGTGTGCTTTCCTTCCAGCAACCTCTTCTCCACATAACTATCAACTTAAGCTTTCTCCTAATTGTGTTCATCAAGACTTCTTTTTTCTGACTTGCAGCATCTAAGCCCTCTAGCATTTGCTATGCTAATGCCATTAACAATAAAATATATAATTAAAGCTATAGGGTGCAGCAGCAATATCAAACAATACTAATGACCAAGTAAAATTGGTAACTTATGTATGGCTGGAAAATGTGGCAAGTGTGCATGCCAGCAGCCATGCAATACCAAATTTTGCCAAAATTTACTTCTCTTTCCACACCATTCAATGATGTGGTAGCCATAGTATTCGTAATGGTGACCATTGCCCATAGAGTTAAGTTTCAACTCATGAAACTTCATGACACATTATTTTGAGTTTTTGCCTCCCCAAAATTTCACTAAACTATCTTCCCAGTTTGCCTTCCCAGATAGTTCCTCCATTAACATGTATGGGTAATGGTGGGAGGACTTAAAATCTGAATAATTGCCTCCTTCAGAAGCTTGTTAGGACACTGAAATACCACAGCGCAAACAAAATGTGGTTATTTTATGACCCATGGGCCCCTAAATGGAGACTCCACGAAAACGTTTTGGGATGACCATGCACAAGGTACTTGTCCTACGCCACATCATGGTAAAATGTGGGAACTAATAAGTTGAACAATACTCAACCACCCTAACAAAATTCAGCAATGCGTGAACGAACAACTAAAGACGGGAGAATGTGCAACTGGGAGAACTATTAACGACGCACGCTACCCGTGCGGGCCTCACCGCAACACGCACACCCGGCTGCGCGAAAACGACGCAAAATCCTCCCACGAGCTATGTTTAGCCAAATATGGCGCAGCTGGGGCGAAAAATATGTGAAAAGGTGAAAACTATTTGACTGCGGCATCTGCATCCTCTTTGAGCTAAACATCATCCATTCAATTTTCTTATAACAGCAGAAACTCACTGCCATATGCAACTGTTCTGGCATGTGTAAATGTTTTAGTTTTAGACAGGGGCTGCGCAAAAGGAGCACGGCGGACCACCCCCTATCAACGGATACGAGGGGGAGGCAGTTCTATCCAACAAGTTGCGTGCAGGAAAATATGTTATTGGCACATATTCTCACTAGGGGACTTTACTGAACTACCTCATATCGATAAAATTGCATTGCTTAAAAGCTACTTCTCTGCTTCTCGGACTCCTCACCGATCAGCGTTACTTCCCCCACGCTGACAGAACTCTCAATGCTTCTGTGCTTAGAGCTCAAACCCTGATTAGGAGTGAAGGTAAATCAGTGCCTGCAGCCAATAGCGGGGGAGGGGTACAGGGATGCCCCACCCTTAGGCTCTGAGGGGTCCTCGTGACCTGCGGTTAACGGCCTGATTTAAGGCCCGCCGGAAGTCGTATTCAGAAGTCAGACCAACAGGGCCGGGCACTGTAATGCCAGCCAGAGAGCCAGGGACGCTGATCGATGATCGATTATGTCGGCAAGGGTCTATATGACGGTCAGACACCACCAGTGATGCACAGCCGGCTCCATGGCGGCATGAGCCTAAGAGTCTATTTTTCAAGTAGGGACAGAGCCGGAGCCAGCGATTTACATTGATCAGGGCCCTAGCGTATATCAGGGCCCCAAAGCGCCTAACGACGGCACGTTGTTGGCAAGGGGCCCTGAGTCGGCCACAGGCAGTGTTTGAGATGACTCGGAGAGCCTGGAGGACCCATCGGGGCCGACCATCAAGGGCCCGATTGGAGGGCCTAAGGACACAAAGAGCTGGTCGGAGACTTACTCAGGGGCCCCGGCCTGCGGGGACGGGCGCACAAATGACAGTCAGATGGCCTTTGCGCTAGCCGGGGACCTCCTGAGTTGATGTGGGTCTATATGACGGTCAGCACCACCAGAGCCGCACAGTCAGCTCTATGTCGGTACGGGCCTGAGGGCCTAATTCTCTATCAGCTACAAAGCCGGGGCCAGAGATTCACACTGGTCGGGCCCCTGTATCTGTCAGAGGCCCACAACACCTAACAACGGGTCCTGTGCTCGCAAGGGCCCCGATTCAACCAAGGGTAATGTTCGATAAGCTGCCTAGGCCGAAGAGAGGCCTAGGCAGCCCACCGGCATTGGTGATCAAGGGCTCGGTTGAAGGGCATAAGGTTCCGAAGGACTACGTCCAGGACCACGCAAGCACTACGCAAGCACTACGTACGTCCCATAAAAATTCTTAGCCCATAGGGCTATGACCTTACATGTTAGAGGTCCTCTTGGACCGTTTTAGAACCCCCAAGAAAATTAGAGAGTCTAAATCGGCCAGAGACCACGTGCACCAAACAGTTGGTTCCCTGTCAATCTCATGCCTGGGGGCCCATTTCTTAATCAGGATCAAGGCCGGGACAACGATTCGCATTGGTCTGGATCCCTGAAACAATGGCTGAGGTCCCTGTGTTGGCCAGGCGCCGCAGTGCCTAAAATGGGTACTGTGGCAGCAAGTGAACCCGAGTCGGCCAGGAGCGGTGTTTGAGTGGCCCCGAAGAGAATCGGAGGTTCTCTCGAGACCAAAGATCAAGGGCCCGACTGGAAGGCTGAAGAGTCCGAAGGGCCGCCTGTAGTTTACATTAAGGGCCCTCAGGGCCCTGATATCAAATGTCAGGTAGAGGGCCTCTTGCATCGATTGCGAGCTCTGATACAGAGCGCTCCTCTATTTCGTCCATAGACCTCCAATACCAAGCAGTCGGCTCCGTGTCGATCCCAGCTCTGGGGGCCTATTTTCCACGCAGGGACAAGGCCGGACCGCGATTTACACTGGTCAGGCCGGCGGCAACAATGCGGAGCTTCTGTATCGGTCAGGGACCCACAGTGCCCAACAGGGTATTCTGTGTCAACAAGGGACTTCAGGTCGGCCAGGAAAATATTTGCTCAGCATGGACGGGGACAGAACCACGAGTGATAGAGGGCCTCTTGCGTTAGCCCTGAGGCCCTCTGACAAGGAAAGGAAACGAGAGCTTATGATGAGTGTTCTCAGACAATGGAAGCGGCATGTGCCAGTCGAGGCCCCCAGTACCGAACGGCGGGCCCTCTACCCCAAAATTCGCATGGACCCGTTAAGCCAAACTGCAATCCATGTGCCAATTACTGAGTGGTTGCAGAAATCGGGGAAGTTGTTCCCTCAATGAGAGTTCCTGTGTCGATTCGGGGTTAACAGTGCGGGTGAGGAGGCCTCCCACGTCAGGGAAAGGAACGATGCAATGTGATGTGTCCCGTTGAAGGCCTCCAGAACGACCAGGGGATCCCGTCCTGGTCGCCAGAATGGCAGCCATAAGTCACCTCGCGTTGGGACGGGGGTGGCTCTTCAGACATCGACCGAGCACAATAATGAGAGACTAATATTATTTTTTAAGGAGATCCCTTGTCCGTGAAGAAGCAAGGGGTCTCATTAGTGTTGAAAAGAGTAGGCTGAAATGGGTTAAGAAACGAACCAGGTCACCCTATTTTGCTTTAAAACGTTTTTTAACAGATCGGCCAGTGAAACAAATAACATCAAAGGCTTGAGCTCGCGCGCCTGCAATCTCCGGAGCCAGGACAGCGATGACCTGTGTTGCAGCTTCCCTGAAAGCGAACAGCATTGGTCACTGCAGGTGATGCCAGGAGGTGGCCGCCGTGCGCGTGAGAACGACCATTGTAAAATAATGGTGCCGAATGTCTTCCAAAGTTCATTCGTGCGTTCAGAGATTACACTGGGCGTATCTTTTTTGAAACTTATTAACAAATCTTACGAAAATTATCAATTCTGCTTTTTTCTTTTCCCGCTCCACCACTAAATTCCATCACCACACCGCGGTGCTGTAAAAGTCGATCCGTTTTTATCATCAATCTAAAATCGCACATGTGAAGTAAACCGCCCGGACCACCTTGTAAGCGTAACATTTGATAATTCAAAGCGTTCAAAAATCCTTTAGAAGCGTCATCTCTTCCGCCCACCCGCTGTCACGATTCAACAGGAATCAACGAGCCAACGCTGTGTGGTCCTTGTAGATTGCAACGTCTAGTGTCGAGGTTTTTATTGCTATAATTTGGCGAGCGCGCATACTCAAAACTACGTTACATAACTTTGGTCACTCAATCGATTCTGACTGGATGTTGAACTTTTCCAGACAAACATGGCTTTGCCAAGTTGATACAAGCTTTAACCCATTTCGACCCACAATCTAAATTCGCGGGATCCTTAACATGTCTGTAGAGATCAGATCAAAACTCTGAAAGCTTCTGAGTTCTTTTGAATAAGAAAATTCCCACTGGACAAGTACAAGTACATTGCACAAAGGAGAGAGAGTCGGCGGTTTATTGCATGTAGCAGTTTTAAGTATTTTATTAGATAAGCAATTCTTCAGTTTATTGACTACCAAAACTCAAGCAGAATTGATTTTGCGATAGCTTGCGACTTATATTCTAGTTATAGAGGGTAAGACTAAAAATATCAAAGAAAAACACGCCCTTCTTAAGGAATGGGCCCATTTTTAGTGATAATTTTTTCAGGGGACCCTGTCACTATCAAGAAGCCCTTTGTCAACCCTGTACCCCTTGCCAGGGCTCTGGCTGCGCGCCTGCCCTGCAGTCTATGGAAATCGAACCTTTTCTAAAAGGAAACGTGAAAATTTATGTTGCATTGCAGCGCACGTGCTACCAGGATCGGCATCAATGTTGGAGCGGGGGGGGGGGGGGACAGAAAGACGCTTCCCCATCATTGAATTGGAAGGGGTAGTCCCACTGTCTCATCAAATTCCTTGGAGGAGAAAGATATTATTCACACCAATTTTCACCGACCGACCCATGTCTCTTAGTCTTACCACCATGAAGCTCTGTTACATCGGAAGGATTACATAGGTATAATCACTAACATGATACAATAAGAAATCAGAAATTGCTCTTAAGTTTTCCCTTATATTAGGCGAACATATTTAATGTATTCCGTGTCTCCGTGACTAGATATTTAGGCCAGATTAGGAGGTCACTTAAGCATCATGAGGTACCGGGCTACCCACCATTCTGAAATAATGTAGGCTACCCCTAACAGCGATGTGAAATTGCAGCATGCTTGTCACATTGCGATATTCTTAATTTTTCAGGTGCCATCGCTATTTTCGTTCACTCTACGTCCATGGCCATCGCGTGTCATCACCATATCCGCTTTCATGTTCTGGCAGTGGGTTTAAAACACAAATACTCATGGACCCTGCAGTTATGAAAATATTACATGGTCATTCCGCATTCCGCCATTTTTGTATTTTCTTTACCCATTACCGTACTCAAGGAATGGAAGGACGATTGTTGTGAGTTCTGACGTTGTTAGATATTGTAGCACATGATTGTAAAAGACCCCACAGCTTGTTTAGGTATGGGCAGATTTGGTGAACATTACAGAAGTATCCCGTTATGTGATGTATGTCCATTTACCGGTCTGGTAATTCATTTTTGAACATTTCTTTGGTCTTATAGCTTGTAGCTGAGTGGCTTTCATGGAATATTCAGCCCGCGGTTGGCCAGACTGACAGGAATAAGGCTTAGAGTACTATTTACCCAGAGTGACTCGGTCCGTGTTCCCCGCACCACTCTCATTCAATCTTATTTATGATGTTTGATATCTTGACATCCGTGCAACTTATCAAAACAATAAATTAAAGTAGTTACACATAGCAATTTTCGTGCAGAATGAGAGATCAGGTAAGTATATAAAAGTAAAAACCATTCGTATGTGAAATTAGATCTCTTAACCAACAATAACAAACAAAAACTCAATAAAATGCAAGGAGATAGCGTAGTATGGGACCAAGAGAAGCATGATCCCATAAACCAAAAGGTTTACACTAGCTTCTGGACAATCTCGTTGAAATTTAGTCCAAACTCGCAGGAATTCGGGTGAAATTTGACATTTGGCCCTGTGGGAAAATGCTGACTTCATGTCTGATAATGGAAATTTCCCGGGCCTTGTGCCCTTTCATATTTACGCTGCGCTGGGAAAAATTCAAAGGGGGTTCAAAATATCCCCCACTCACACCCGCCGGGCACGGGAAATAAACAACATGCCGCTCACGTAATCTAAAGAGAACCTTCCGTTTCCTCCATCTTTTAAAGTTCGTAGTAATTTAATTCCTGGTGGCGCAAAAGCTGCACATGCCAAGACTACGGAGGCGCCCGAGAGCAGTGCCACCGGAGAGGCAAGAGAGCAACCGTCCCTTCGACATTTGCCAAGAGGTAAGTATACCCCCCCCCCCCCCCCCCCCCCCCAGTCCTCCGCAATGTGAGGTGTAACGCGCGCGAACCCACCCGTAATGTCGTCAAACTTCTGCGTCTCCTTATGACCCTGTCCGCCAGTTCAGCCACAGCTGAAGGCAGGTATATCGCGTAACAGCGGCTGAAAACTTGCTTTGCTTAATGATGACGCAGAAGGGGATCAAGGCAGCACCAGTGCGTCACGAGCTTTGCTCTAGCCTGGGTCGAGTGGACCCAGGTCGTATGGGAATTACTTTTGCCAGTATAAATGCGTCTAAAATGAGAAAATTAATTTAGACGCAAAACTGGTTCTACCAGAGAACGTTTGGCTGCTGTTAGGGCTGCACCATAAACGGTAGTGATATAGACCTTGAAGTAGTATGTGAGCGGTGCGACCTGCAAACCCACGTGCCGTTAGAATACTTTATCGCTACTCCTGTTTAAGTCTGGCGGCCAAGCCAAAGCATAGGTGGGGGGGTAAAAATATGCGAAAGTGCACCCTGCGAAGATTTTGCCACTGGACACACCTCGTTTATACACTGCTATGGCCAATTGGGCCTGTGTAATTGTATACACAATGTGCTGAAAAGAAGCTGCGATACTGTGTAATGATAAGTCCGCCGGCTTTGAGCAAGTAACGTCCTTCGAAGTTGGGAAGGGAGGGGGAGGTAACCGTTATGATCATTTCTTTCTGGTCAACACCCATATGACAAGTGTTAAATTATCAGAGACTTGTATGGGTCTCAGTCCCTGCCTCGCGCCCCGGATTTCGCGCCTTATGCCTTAGGCACATAACAAATTTGGTAGCAATAATGTTTTTAGGGGAACGTCCGATATTGAACGCTTTGAATGTCATC